GGGGGGGGTGGGGAGGGGGGAGCGCACAGAAAGAACGGCTATTATACACACGGCCGTGCGGCTCATCATAGGGGGGGACTATCTGCCCCTGACTTGACCACGTTAATCAGGGAGCGCTGTCTCAATCCACTAAGATGCAATTTAGATCCATATAAATGGAAATGGGGCGACCCAAATGGATGCAGCGCTCGCGGCAGATGTGAACGTGGCGCGGCGCAGGTGAAGGACACCATCAAGGACCAGGATGATGACACATACTTAGACAAAACATAGTAGGAGGGAGGAGAGATTTCAGAGCGTATGAGTCACGTTTCCATGCCGCTGCGCTGCCGTTCAACAAACAGGCACAGAACACAAAACGGGGCGTCGTCTCGGCGCTTCGTAAAAACCTGCATGTGATGTTTGCGTCGTTATGTAAAATGTGCAAGGTGGCTTTTGAAATGCACCGAAGGAAAATATTTTCTTTTGCTTTCAAGGAAGGCGTCTTGAACTTTGGCTTGATTTGGTCGGAATTATTGAGTTCATTATTTTTAAAAATCCTTTACTGCTGCAAATGGCGTACGACTGTGAAGTATCCCTTTAACATGCGGCTGTGTGAATAATCATTCACTCTTGGGTATAATATTCAGAGTAACAGTGCGGTGTCTGGAGAAAAGCCTCATGCATATTTGGAGCACGTCCACTCAGTTCAACGCTTGCGGTTTATTTATGTCTTTCGTCCGCATTAGCAGAAGGGAATTCATGAAATGAGGCTAATTGTTACTGTCCGCTAGTCAGCCTTCCAACTCCAAAAGTGTCACACAAATATATCACTAAGCTGCCCATATTTTGAGAAACGTTTATGCCCATGTGAACACGAGACGCAAATTACATGAGCAACCGTAGGCACTTTTGTGCTTCTAATTTGGGGACGGAATTTGAAAAGAAATACCGCATATGGATTCACATTGAAAAAGTGTCTCGCAGAGTCACTGACTCCGTTTTTCTCCATTTACAAATTGTCATCTGAGCTTTCAGAACAGAGGTTAAAAAAAAAAAAAAACGCACACCATCTGATGCGGAATTGGATACAGTATTGGCCAAATGTTTGCAAAAGTCGAACCCGATTGGCGAACACTCTCACATCATCAAGCTCACGGGCAGAAATGCTTGACTCCGTCTCCATAGCAACTGCTGCTCTCTCACTGTAATCTGTCCACTTGTGATGGGATCACCCAAGACGTATGTCAGTGGCAGGTACAAGCGCGAGCGTTTGGAGTGAGCGAGAGAGAGCGACAAGGGAGGCGTAGCAGCGTCAAAGACGCGCGGGCAAACCGACGCACGCCGATCCATCGCATCGGAAAGATAACTGACCTTAATTACAACCCCCTTTTTCATTTACCGCGATTCGATCATCACGGCGCGGAAAATCTTTGCGGCAAACCACGATCATATTTACTTTATTGATAGTGTAAACAATACCCTTCATTAACTCCGTAACTGTGCGCAATCCATCATTTAACCCTCCGTTAATTTTCGCGACAGGAGTCCGCTGCCCGTAAAAGTGTGTCCGTGTTTGCTGAGGCTTAGGAACGTGAATTTGGCTTGCGTGGGGGAGGCAGATGGCGAGGACGGATCCGCCTTCCTCAAACATCATCCGTTGGACATCTTTGCTACTGCTTAAGTGCTACCAGGTCAGCCAGGACGCGTCACGGCCGCTGCCATTTACGCAGAGACGAACTTGCGGATGTATGGCGTCGACGTCGTAAGAGAGAGCGAGGCACGGGGAGGCTTCGCCGTGGCAATTATGATTAGCCAGAGGGGGGGCGGTGTCATCTTAACGCGAGGCGACAAGCCGACACCGGTACATGCTCGCAGGGGGTCAAAGGTTAAGCTTCCTATCTGCCCGTTTCCCCACCCCATCAAAAAATTTGCCATTGCCAAGACCTCATATCTGGAGGGACACTTCTGACACTCCATCTGCTGCCATCTGTCCCCTCGTTGTCCCCATTCGAGTGTGGCAAGAGCGCCGATGAGAGACAAAGCCCTGAAACACGACGGAAGCGCTTGGCCAACTGTAATTCCTCTCTCGCCGCTCCTCTTCCGCAGCCAGTGTGCAGGCGATCGTAAAATTTGGTCGGAGCGTTTGCTGTCCAGCTGTTTAAAAGGGCCGGCGGTGTGGGCAAAGGTCTCGCTTTGTACTCCGAAACCCTTCAAACCGCCGGGACTTCCTCGTGGCGGGCTCGCGGTGCCGCGTTAGGATACACTTAAGATGCAGAGCAACAGTAGACAATACTCGAGGCGAGCCTCTGTCAGCCGCATCATGAGCGTCGGGGCTCGTGGGCCAGAAATGTTGTGAGGACCACTCAACCTTGGGTAATTGTAAATCCCCAAAAAAAAGACAGCGGAATATGTGTCACCACACACACACACACACACACACACACCTCGCAGCGTGTGAAGACATGAAACGGCATGCCTCACAGCCCTTTTAGTCTTCAAATAAAGCACACTCGCTTGTCTCGATTTGAAGCCAGAGCACGTTGCTCACGAGTTATGCCACTGTGTCAAGACTCTCATTCGGTATGCAAAGGCCTCGCTTGTAAATCTCTCCCGAAGTGTTATTAGGGGGGGGGGTGGAAACGGCACGGCGAATGCAAAGAAACAAATAGCACAGAACATCTGGTTGGAGCTCATCGGAGAGAGCCGCGCCGAATCTGACTGACGGTGTTTAAAATGTAACTGGAGCAGCATGCATTTTACAACGCATTACAGTATGAGTCAGTGAAATTGGGATGGGGCGCTTAATACTGTATGAATAGACTCGAGAATCCTTGTACCAAGGATTGTTTGAATCGGGAAGAGTTTTGAGCGTGTGCGTGACAAGTTGCGTTGGGTGGCGTCGCGGCCGTATTTAAGACGCGACGTCCTTTGGCGGAGAAACGAGTCTAAATTAGGGCGAGATTTGACATTCACTCGCTGAGAGACCTTAATGACTTTAGCATCATCGAGCCCTCCCCCCCAACGTTTGGAGGATTGCGCCCTCATGAATTAATGAGAGAGTGTGCATAGCCAAGACGAGCGCTTGCATTACAACCAAGTCTTTGCATTAATTTGACTAACCCAGATAAGTTCTTTTTTTTTTTTTTTTAAGAACAATTCTCTTCCGCAATTAAATGCAGAGATTGAGAGAAAGTGTCTCGTTAGCGTCAATCGCTTCTAATTTGGCGTTGGCGTAGAACCGTTTTGCACCCAAACGTTTTGCTCGTGACCTAGAACGGAGTGAGTGAAACGATCCGATTCTCCAAGGTGCCCGTGACCTTGAAAAATCTTCTCTGTGCACACGCGGAGGGGGGTCAGCGGTTGCGAAGAACCCCAAACAGGTTATGGGAAACCATTTTTCACGTTGATTAAGGCTTCGTTCAGACTCTGCAAACGACTAAATGAGAGTCAGTGTCATGTCGCGTGTCACTCATCATCAGCGTGGGTGACGGGGACAGAAAACCCGAGGCGATGTCGACACGCTCGCAAACCGGCGCGTCTCTGAATCCTGAATCCTCCACCCTGGAAGTCCCCGATTGGCGAACGTTGGGTCGGCCTTCGAAAGGCACCGACGGGAGCTTCGGGTGAAGACAGTAAAGCAATATTTTGCTTCATTATTTCCTCACTCGCCGCTAATTTATGATTCACTCTGCATTTCCCGTGTCCATAAATATTTATGCCGCAGCGGCCGACTCATGCATCCTGTCCTCTGCTTCCCTTTTTTGACTCCTCCGCAGCAGGTCAGGACCGCACCGAGACGGTGCTTATTAAGCGTTTCCGGGGAGATGGCGTTCGCTACAAGGCCAAGCTGATCGGGATTGATGAGGTGACAGCAGCACGCGGGGACAAGCTGTGCCAAGACTCCATGATGAAGCTCAAGGTACAGACTTTCAGGTCGCTTGCGTGTGTGCGTTCGTGTGCGTGCGTGTCGTTCAACTCTCCGCATCTCACTCGCCCCCGATTTGGACAAGAGATGTGTGAGCATGTCCGAATTGTCTCTTAAATGAGCAAAAGCACTGCCTTCTCACTCGCAATTTACGATTCGCTTCAGCACGCCGAAGAAGTGAACAGACAGAACAAATAACGGGCAGAGATCATTAGATTGTACAATGCGCCCCGCAGGATGGATTTCGTCTTGGTCAAACTCGCTGCCGCACGTCATTCGTCCCCGATAAAGCTTCTTCGATTTTCAAATTGGAGATGCATTCAAAGGTAAAATCGTCTCAAATGTTATTTTCCGTGCATCACCGTGCTTTTTCTTTGACCTCCGTCGCTCATTTCGTGTGATTTGATTTTATTCCGTCAAAGTGGCAATATTATTTTCTTTTTTGGGACTGTTTCAAGTAGTTCTGCAAATAATTCTGTTGCTGGAAGTGGAAAAGCCGCTGCAGACCTCCGTCCACCCCCAGTCGCTAAGTCTAATAAAACAACCTTTTCGCAGCCTGGATCTGACATTCCAGCATTTAACCTCGACATGACACCAGTCGCGAGCAGCCAACAGCCACAAGTCGTCAATACACAACTGCTATTATCTGGACTGGGGATAAAGACGGGGACGGGATCTCTATCGAGCCGCCTCCCCCCGCCGTGAGGCCTAATCCACCAAATGGAGAAGGCGATGGCTGATTGACAGCAGCGATCGACGATCCCGCTGGTCCGTGGCTTGTGCTGTTTGTCCGGGCCTGCCCCCATTGCAGCTCTGTGGAAGTAGAAACACCGCAGACAAGTTTTGGGCTAAGGACTTCCAGGGGGAATCCTCAGGCCAGCCACCGAACACAGTCTCTCAAATGTGTCTTTGCCGGTGCGATCTGCCTGGGTGACGTCACCAGGCAGCAGCTGCCCAGCAGGAATTCTCAGCAGATGCCCGAGACACATGACCGAGCTTCTCCCCCTATCTCCAAGCGAAAGCCCAGAAATCCTGCGGAGGAAAGCCATTTTGGCTGTCTTCTTGTGGTCACTCATCACAGCTCATGACCGTGCAAGTGGGTGAGGGTCAAGATATTCCTCCACTAGGGGGCTGGATCTCATCGCTGTGCTGATGAGGGCACCCTTTTTCCGAATTCGGACCATGGTCTCGGATTTGGATCCCAGCTTCCTCACACTTCTCCAATGAGAGTTGAACCACATCAACAGAACCACATCATTTGCATAAATCAGAGAGCCAATACGCTGTCGCCGACGTCCATGTGACGCTGCAGAGACACGTCAACAACATCAAGCCCACGACATCCGGGCACTTGAGAATCTCTGGATGGGTCTCATCCAGTCCCTCCAAAGCTTTTGAACCAGCTGGACGATCTAGCCCGCAGAGATATGGTAGAACAACCAATTTCTGAGTCCCCAGACTCTTCTTCCTCATAAGAAGGCATGTTGGTGGAATTGAGGAGGTTTTCTTTGTATTCCACCGCCCCCCCCCCCATGACCCACTACATCCAGACCTGAGATCCACATAGCTCAAGCCCTACCGTACACACAGTGTTTGATAGCACACCACAAGAGAGGGATTGCCGAATATAAAAGTGACAATAATCATAACCCAAGAGTGAAGCTTCGGTCCGGATGGAGAAATGCTTTGTGTCTCTTTTGCCTTTGTCGATTATAATGCAGATGAAAGAAATCCGAATGACCTGCATGTCAAGTAGGAGCTGAGCTGTAAAGTTTCCAGGTGACGGGAGGCTGATTCCAAATGAGCTCGACCGCTTGTTAATGCCACTGCGCTTTTGTCAAGACGTTAGGCAGGCCCTTTTCTTTTCTTCTCTTCCCTTTTCTTCTCTTGCCAACCTTTGTTCGATGAAAGACACATCAAGCCCACTGGTTGCGTCGAGAGGAACAGAGTGGAAATGTTAATAGTGTTTTTTTTTTCTTTCTTTTTAATTAGAGTTGAGCTGTTCCTGGGGGGGGGGGAAGAAAAAAACGGACTTCAAAGGCCGGCTCGGTTGTTCAGTCAGCAATACGTGAGAGTCGCCGGAGCGAACGGGCCGTTGCATTTTGTCAGCATTTACTGTTGTCAGCGAGCACTCACGTGTGTCACTCTGAAGTGCGGTAGACCCACGTCCAGAAAACTAGAAAAAAAAATGGGCACGAGAGGAGAAAAAAAGATTGCAATTATACATCCAACTCCCGGCACAAGGTGATGTGAATTCTTGCGAGGGTGATATTTTCAGAAAAGGCATCAGAAAGAACAAGCTGTCCTATCACACCTTGCGTAACCGCTGTCAACCCCCCGCCACCCACCCCCCAGTGTCCCTCTCAATCGCCCACTCACCTGAGAAGGAAGCTGCCGACCAAATCTCTTCGTCTCTCTCGTACAAGAACTCGTGCGCTTTCATCATCTCACGTCCATCCCTTTTATCTCCTGCAGGGCATGGCTTCCACGGCACGCTCCAAAGGGGAGCACAAGCAGAGAATCTTCTTGACCGTCTCTTTTGGAGGGATCAAGATTTACTGTGAAAGATCGGGGGTGAGTGTCAAGTCAGCCGTGGTCGATGCACGGGTATTTATTCATCGAAGCTGCACCGGGAGGGCTCAACCAGTTCGCTGTACTGGGAAGCGACTGCGTAGGACAGAAGTGTCCGAATGACAAAATTACAAATGGCAGAAATTAACTACAAACGAACAATTGCTTTCTTGACTGACTTTAGGGTGTCTTGAAAAGTTGCAGAATTTTAAAGTGACACTTTCATCCTGACATTTTTTTTTTTTTTTTTTTGTGTGGCCCCTCAAATTGAAAAAAAGGTTTGGAAACCCCTCGTGTAGGACATCTCGAGGGCAGATGTTTTCACACTTGACTACACAATGGCTTCCACATCCGCCATCTTGTGAGCTCGCCATAAAACAAAAGATCCTGCAACACGGGAGCGAGGTCATTCCCAATGTTATTCTGATCGTTTAGCTTTTTTTTAATCACCGGCTTCCTCAAACGGCAAAGCTTTCCAAAGAAAATCTTCTGGCGGCAAATGTTTGGCAAGAACTAATTGAATGAAACCGGTTGAACTTCTAGCGCAGTAAGAGCAACGCGATGCCCGGGGAAATACTTGAGATCATCGGGGCCCTGTCTGTCTGCTAATGATGCAGCACAGTGCAATGAGCAATATGATGCTAATGTTAGGAGACGGGCTGTTTCTACCTCCGTCTTGGCCTTCTTCCCCTTGGCGAGCTCACAGGCCTGCTGTTCCATTACGGGATGATGGAGAGGCCCGACTCAAGCACCCACCCGCCTCGCCGCCCCTCATCCTGCGGCAAAGTGTCAGCGAGATAGGCCCACTCTGCCTCATCAGAGCTAACTGATAATTAGCACGCCGTTCCACCCCTTAATGATCATTGCCACTAATACTAATTACGCTGCGGCTCCACCTCAGCCGTGCCGAACTTATAATTATGCGGCACTCGCCCCGACCTCCGTGCCACAAAGCCCTACCTCCGTACCTCCGTGATCACATCTATTTTGTATCTGAGTGATGTGCTAAATGGCGCGCCCGCCAACCAGCTCAGCACGTTTGACAAGCCTATTTGTTGTTTGGGAACTGCTGTCCCCTAATGCTCGTCATTTAATTCGCTGATTACTGGCGGTAAATAACACTTCACTCTCTTGAGTTATTATGTTCGGAAATGGGGGCTCGCTCCCGTGCAGGCGCGAAGCATTTGGATGGAAACGCTTTATGTAAAGCTGACATGATTCTCCACTGAATGGGGTCGTAATAGTTTTTTGTATTCGACATTAATTCAGACGTCGCTTGCATCGCTCCCTGCTGAATTTGTCGAATATAAAGCTGCTCCCCTGAGCCGGGGCTTATTCCTGCTAATAGGGCGGATGCAGGTGGGTGTGCATGGGTGACAGCTCCTAAAAAAAAATAAAAAAATTCTGTGTGTGTGTGTGTGTGTGTGTGTGTGTGTGTGCGTCAAGCATTTTTTTTTTAACCACCTACCATGTTTAAACTCACTCTCACTCAGCAAGTCACTTCAGTCAAGTTTCAAAATAACAATATTACATTGACATATATATATATGCCTACATTTTTAGGCAGCGCGCTATAATAGCGGTTAGCATGCGTGTTTTCTCTCAAGACTCCGTCTTCCTTCCACAGTCCCAAAGCATGCCTGTTATCCTCAATCAGGGGTCGGCAACCCAAAATGTTGAAAGAGCCATATAGGACAAAAAAAACAAAAAAACAACTATGTCCAGAGCCGCAAAAAAATAAAAGCCTTCTATAGAACTTACAATGAAGGAAACACATGCTGTATGTTTGGAGGAGAGTGGACTGTCTCAGAATTGTTTGTTATTCATTGCTTAGTTGTGTGTTCACAAACGCTCCCATAGAATTGATTTTGTGATTTCCTCTATTTTTTATAAAGCTCCAGGGAGCCACGAGATGCCGCTAAAGAGCTGCATGCGGCTCTGTAGCCGCATGTTGCCGACCCCCGTCCAAAATGAAGACACTAGACTGCCCGTAATATGAATGCGAGTGTGTAGGGTTGTTCGTCTTTTTGTGCCTTGGGATTGGCCGGTGAGTGCCCAATATTCAGTGCGCAACTCGTCGCACCCTGATCAGCTCGTGAACAAAGTGATGATTAGCGACGCGCGATACTTATTCTTCCCTCCCTGTAACATGTAAATAATGTCGCCTTTAAAGCGACAGACACATGGATGAGGCGAAACATTTGGTCTCTGCCTCCGTTGTCCAGGTACTCCAGCATCAGCATTCGGTCCATGAAATTAGCTACATTGCCAAGGACACCAGGGACCACCGGGCCTTCGGTTACGTTTGTGGAAAGGAGGGCCACCACAGGTTTGTCGCCATTAAGACTGCCCAGTCGGTGAGTATTTTGATGAAAGCGCTTGTTAACTCTTCTGCGGTCATTCATACTCTCCATATGAACACCGAATGGCTAAATAGCATCCATTTTCTGTAGCGCGTACCCTCAATTAGGGTCAAGAGGTGAGCTGGAGCCGATGCCCGCTAACCAAATGCTCCACCGAGCCACAATGAGATAGCTTTTATTTTTCCGATGTTTTGATTCTCTCAAAATATTAGAAACACCCTTCAACAAACTGCAATATGGTGGTTGACCACTTCAGTCCACATCGACAATTAATAGATTGTTAAATGAATGAATCGAAATCAATCGAATGAAGTGGATGACTCGGCATTTCTCACACGGTCGTCCTTCCTTTTTCACTCGTCTGCACAGGCGGAGCCTCTCATCATTGACCTGCGTGACCTCTTTACCCTCATCTACGACATTAAGCAACGGGAGGAGATGGAGAAAAAGGCCCAGAAGGACAAACATTGCGAGCAGGCCGTCTACCAGGTAGAACTGAAAAAGAATGTTGCGTTATGCAGCAATCCCTCGCGAGAACACGGTTCAGCTTTCGCGTCTTCGCTGTTCCGCGGATTTCTTTTCGTGCATTGTGTTTTGCATCCTGATCGGCGAAGGGACTGTAGACTAATGTCAACAAGTCTCCGCGCCTCATCGCCGCTCATCTTGCCCAATTTTCTCCATGGCAAAACTCTCAATGTCGACGAAACGTTTATAAAAAGTGTCGTGTGTCTTCTCTCCTCCTGCCTCGCAGACCATCTTGGAGGACGAAGCAGACGATCCCGTTTACCAGGTAGGTGCGGAGGCACACTTTGCAAGAACCTTCACGGCTTTCTCGCTGCGCTGCAGCTTCTCTTTCCCCCCCCCACCCTTGGCAATTCGAGAGTATTTGTTGACTTGATCTGGTCTCTGATCTGCTCAAATTAACGATTGAACCAGTTTCACCACCCGGCGACCCCCGGCGGACCATCTTTACAGACAGTTTTGTTCAACCATTCAACTTCCATTTGCCAGTGCGATGTTGTAAAACCATATTTCGTTTTTTTCTTTTGTTTGTTTGTTTTTCCTTCTGTTGATTTGTGTCAGTGTTGCAATTTCTTCCAAAGATTTGCTCTCAACCAGAATTGCGATTTCCCCCCTCTTTTTGGCTGCACTTGATTGAATGTTTTTGGTTTTCCTGCTCACACTGAATACAGACAACACTAACTCTTACTCTGAGCTCATACGTCCAAAACACCTCCCAAATCATCTGTTTGTTGCTCTTGAATATCTGCTTAGTCATTCATTTTGCAGCGTTATTTTGAAGTTGGTTGACAAACTCCAGCTATGGGGCCAGGGATTCAAAAGATTTTTTTTTTTTTTTACATATTCTACAGTTAACGATAACTATTAAACTTATCCAATCTAGAATCTTTTATAGCGCACAAATTGAAACTCTGGACTTTCCTAAAATTAGTCCAGCATTGGATTATAAAGCGTTCTTGCTTTGTGACCTTTTCCGATTATTCTAAGGAACCCCCCCAATTGAATTCAAATGTTATCTCATGCGGATGAGCGTGGAGAAATCACATCAGGGTCTCCTTGCAACTCGCCGTCGAATCGAAAACACGTTTCCTATTTCTCGAGCTGAGAAATACATTGAATAGCAACTGAGCCATCAATCTTTTCATCTGAGAAATGTTTTGCTTTGCCACCGAAGCTCAGGTCCATGACATGATGTAAACTCTCTTGCAGATCAGGCCGAATTCGTGACTGTTCAGAGCTAGTTTCTGTCAAAGATGCCTCATGCTTCTGTTGACCTCTGGTTACAACCTCCGCATTGCTATGAACTGCTACCTGACTTGATTATACTTGTGCTCTTTCCCCTTCCGACCTCTTTTTTTCTTTCTCTCCCAATGCCCCCCCGCCCCCACTCCGCTCTCTTCTGCTCCACTTTGTTTTTGACACCCTCCCTGGTCTCTTTTCACTCCCCCACTTGATACCCCCCCCCACCCCCTGTGCTCTCCTTTATTCTCATC